AGGCCTAACAGTGTTATAACACACGATCTTGGTGGCCAATCAACCGGCCGAAAACGAGAAATTATCTGCTCACCGAAGTGTTCTCTCAATAAATCCATTGAATGATGAGATGTGTGGGAAGTGGCGGCGTCTTGTTGAAACCAAATGTCGCTGAGCTTCAATTTCAGGCATCAAATAGTCGGTTATCATGGACCGATAATTCCACCCACCAACTATCCACATCGAACCGTTGTTTTTTCTCAGCCAGATCGTTGAACAAAATTTTACTCTAAAACGTCGTACCTTATTGAAACTTTTCAAGAGCCCATAAAGCGATGCGATGGACTCTCCAGAATCTTCGCGAACACTCTCAGCTAGGGCCGTTATACTTCACTGAAGCTGGACGGGCCAAAAATAACATGACAGTTTGACGCGACTCAAGTGTAATCTGTCAAAAAAGGGCTATTGACGGCTGCTAGGATCACCCGTTAATAATTACGTCAAAACATTTGCCAGTTCAGCATCTTTAATTAATAAATATTATTTAGTTTTTTGTTTGTAAAAGTCACATTTGTCAAATAAGTCGTATGTTCGTCGTAAGCGGTCGGTCTTTTTTAATGAACAATAAAAATCCAGTAAACGGACATCCATTTAATAGTCATGCTCATTGAAAATCAATATAACTTCTTAAAAATATGTATATATATTTTTTCTATAATTATATTTTTTTAATAAAATAATAAGCGATTATTGCCTGACGCCCATTTAAATAAAAATCAATCCGTAAAGGCCAGAAAAAATACCTCCCAACGATCTTCCAGAAGAGGGAGTACATTCTCACCGCCTCTAAATACTTGATGCAATTTACAATAGGCGAGGGAGAGGTACTCTTCTTCTCCTGATGACCCATATATGCACCGGGATGCAATCCATCTACCGCTGTAACCGTACGATGAATTACAGTGTTAAAGGGTTGAGGTATTTTAAATACAAAAAATTAGTTTTTTTCTCACTAAAATGTCAAAAAAGATATTAATTTTGATTATGTTTGAGGGTTGTATTTGTTGCATTTATATTCATATAAATATATTTTCTTTTTTCCATTAAATATTATTGTGGTTTTCATTTTCAATAAAACTGAGGGATTTTTCCTTTATGGCTGAAGCTGGTTGAGAATTTTGAAAAAGTGGAAACAATTTTTTTTTGTCTTAAAAGGTGCTTTAGGGTCTTAGAAATAGCATACCAAAAGATAGATGCCCGGCAAAAATATCTAAATGTCCAAATTTCTCATTCAAGAGCAGTGCCTTGAGAGTATGCCCCGAGCACTATATACGGGCCCTGCGCGTTTTTCTCGAAATCACTATTTTTAAATTAGTCGAATACATAACTCGAACAAATTTTCACCGATTCTTACCGTTCTCCAGAGACGTACGTGGGATTATTTATTGATTCAGTATATAAGTTAAGGATTGGTGGTTACGTCTTCGGCCATGGGCCCCGTAAAAAAAAGTGCCTTCGGAGAAATGCTGAATAGCGGCCATTTTAAAAATAATTCACACGAAGAATTTTGTATTTGTGATTATTTCGATTGATTCCTTTGTTGAGTCCAAATAAATTCATAAAATGTGCCCATTTTTTTGCGCTCTAGACCAGGTTGCCCCTTAAAAGATCTTGGGGAGAATACTTAGGGATTTTGGAAAAGTGCATAAGTTCGTGCCCGATTTCAAGTGCAAACTAAAATTGAAATTTTTTGAAGAAAGCGCTTTCATTAAACAATTATGTATTCGCCATCATGTTCGGCAATCCACTCCCAACGTTCAACCAATTTACGGATGCCTGATTCTTAGAAATCGCGCGGTTTCTCGTTGAAAAAGGTGTCAAGGTGGTTTTTGACGTCTTCCACATTTTTAAATTTTTTTCCATTCAAATTGTTCTGCAGCGATCGAAACAAATGATAATCAGAAGGTGCAATGTCGGGTGAATATGGGGGATGCGGCATGATTTCCCAATTCATCTCCTTCAGTTTGGCCAGGGTCGGTTTTGCAACATGTGGCCTGGCGTTGTCATGATGGAAAAGAACTCCTTTGCGATTGGCCAAAATCGGACGTTTTTCATCAATTGCTTTCTTCAATTCGACCAATTGCTGACAATACTTGTTGGCAGTGATCGTTTCTCCAGCTGGCAAGAGCTCAAAATAGATCACGCCTCGGATATCCCACCAAATGCACAGCAGTACCTTCATCGGATGCAATCCACCTTTCGACATCGGTTCCGCCCCTTCGTGTGCCTGTTTCCATGTTCTTTTGCGTTGAACATTGTTGTACAGGATCCATTTTTCATCACCAGTCACGAGCCGATCCAAAAAAGGTTCGTTTTTGATCCGTCGAAGCAAAGAAATTGCTGTTGACATACGGTCCACTTTGTTTTTTTCACTCAACTGATGTGGCACCCATGTATCGAGCTTCAAAGTGTACCCAACCTTTTTTAAACGACGAAACGCAGTTGATTTGTTGACGTTCAATTCACTGGCAACCTCTTCCGTCGAAATACGTGAGTTATTCGCAACTAAAGTCCTTAGAACATCGTCATCAAGCTCAGAAGGCCGTCCACTGCGAGGTTGATCTTCGAGGTTAAAATCTCCAGAACGAAATTTCGCGAACCATTTCTTTACTGTGCGGAGTGCTGGAGCACGGTCCAAATAAACTTCGCGAATATCTTTAGTTGCAGCGCCTACTGTTTTTCCTTTGCGGAATTCGTATAACATAATATGACGCATATGATCTTTTTCGTTGTCCATCTTCCATGCGTCTTTTCACTAAGCAACTCAAATCAAAATGAAGTTATTTTATGCTTGATTTACAGTTCGGACTGTCACCTTTCCAACGATATATAATATGTATATATTTCTTTCACGAGCGCCACTCTTAAACGATTCGAACGGCATCCAGCGGAATCGGGAACGAACTTATGCACTCATCCAATACATTATCTTTATTAGGAACTCTTGATTTACCGCCAGCTGCTATTTCGGACACCACCACGTTTCCTCATCAGGCTTTTTTTCTAGACACCTTTGTTCAAATTAAATTCGAGCTTGGGGTGACAGCAGCACGAGCCAATGATTATCCCATTAAGATACATGTGTGCCGGTTCACCTTTCTTGTTGTTTAACCCGATTCTATTAGAAATAACTTATAATTCTTCATTTAAAAATCTCTCTCCTGAAAATAACTTTTTCGGTGTGGAATTTATATATGAACAGTTTTTCTTAATTTTAGTAAAAAAAGAACCTCAGTACTCTACAACTACTAGGCGGTGTCCATTTACATTTACCCTACACATATCATATTTAACGGGCACACCTAGTGTAATGGCCTCAAAAAAGTTCATTTTTGAGAATTTTTATTAAAAAATATACTTTATCAATTATTTCAAAATTTTAAGAATATATTTATACATGTTTCAAGAATATACAGTGAAATTTTTGAAGACAAAAATTAAATATTTTTTAAGTTATAGTCGATCTCCAACGGCGCAGAAAAAGCTCCTTCACTGCTGTAGTGATTCCGGCCTTCTCCGTGGATGAAATCTAAAAAAAAATTCTCTACTAGATAATATTGTCTGTGCAAAGACCTTAAATCCAAAATTGACAATATGGCGGCGTTTTAAAAAAAAATATTCCAATTTTAACCACAATTTTGGCCGTTTTTGGCCTGCCAAAATTCGATTTTTTGATCAGAGAACTATATATAGAACATGTAAAAAAATTCGAGAATGATCGGATCAATTGTTTTTGAGTAATCACTGCAGAGAATTCGGAAAATACTGTTTCGAGAAAAACGCGTTCAAAGATAAAATGATCGTTTTCACTCGTAGCTGATGAGACTCTCTAGCCGCCGAGCGGTTGCTCTTTAAATTGCTATAACTCAAAAACTATTTGAGATATCGATTTGAAATTTCAATATGTTATTTTTAAAGGTGTAATCTACCGAAATATGAAAAAAGATCGATTTTTTTGAAATTTCACACTAGCTGTGCCCCTTAATTTTAAATAATAATCTCCAAACTGTTTCCGTATGGAGCTTAATTTTGCCTCTTCCAACAATTATTTTAGAAATTTTTAATATATATAGAAAAAAGGGCACATTGAATAACAGTTTGTCTGTTCTTTTTTATGTATTTATTTTTTTTTTTTGTTTCAAAATGTTTTTTTTTTTTTCATTTTTTCTCCCTTTGATATCAGCACATTTTTATCCCAGCCACTCACGTGCCGATCGTGCGATTGAATTTAAGAATTTCATCAATTTAACTAGATTTAGATTTGGCAAAAGAACTCAATTTGTTACAACTCGCATCCCAATCCCGACACCTGGGCTTCGACACATTTTCACTGCGATCATTTTTTATTGTCGTATTGTTGTTATTATAAAAGACGTCGTCACATTAACCTTGAATTCCCTTTCGTTTTTTTTTTGTTTTTTTTTTATCTATTTCTATGTTTCCCTAGACCGTTTGGGGGGAAATGAGGTGTTGTAAATGCAAAGAAATTCGCTGGCGCACGTCCAACAGGGCGTATGTGTAACATTCATGCTTAATTTTTCTGAGGCTTGCTTTTTTGCAGGTACATACACGTATGTACATACATATGCATACATATGTCTGTACTTAGTATTTATTATTTATTTATAACCTTATGAATAATTTAGCTGTGCAGCGAAAAGTCGAAATTGCATAATATTTAATTATTTAGGTAAAATATTGTATTTTCACATTTCGTTCTCAACAGCAAATTATACAATTGACCAATTGAAGTGGAAAATTATTTTCTTATTTATAATTAAATACTAATTAATTGTTGATTTTTTCGTAATTTCTTCTCTTGTTTTTGAAATAAAATTTTGAGCTTTTTAATCAAATGTATATGTCTGTGTGTAACTATGATCGTTCTTATACGTCTTTGCAAAGTATATCACTAAATTTATATCACTAAATCTGTATATATATAATAATCTTACTTTCAGGTATTCGTTTCTCTTTGGATGTCTCACGCGATGAAGTCAAAGCCTTGTCCGCTTTGATGACATTCAAGTGCGCCTGTGTCGATGTACCATTTGGTGGCGCCAAGGCCGGTCTTAAGATCAATCCTAAAGAATACTCTGAACATGAATTAGAGAAGATAACACGCCGTTTCACGCTTGAGTTGGCCAAGAAGGGCTTCATTGGACCCGGTGTTGATGTACCAGCACCCGATATGGGTACCGGTGAACGTGAAATGTCCTGGATTGCCGATACATATGCCAAAACTATTGGTCATTTGGATATCAACGCACACGCTTGCGTAACTGGCAAACCCATCAATCAAGGTGGTATTCATGGTCGTGTCTCTGCGACGGGTCGCGGTGTCTTCCACGGTTTGGAGAACTTTATCAACGAGGCCAATTACATGAGCATGATTGGTAAGTAGTGAATTGTTGTGCGTCAATGCGCTATGGAAGATGACTAATTTTCTATGTGTGTTTGTTGTTTTGCAGGTACCACACCCGGTTGGGGCGGCAAAACTTTCATTGTGCAAGGTTTCGGTAATGTCGGTCTGCACACTTGTCGTTATTTGACACGCGCTGGCGCTACTTGCGTTGGTATTATTGAGCATGATGGCTCCATCTACAATTCGGAGGGTATTGACCCCAAGGTTTGTTGGTTCAATACTTAAATTTTGTTTGTAGTGAAATGAATTTGACAAATTTAAATTTTTTATTTTACAGGAATTGGAAGACTACAAGAACGAACATGGCACTATTGTCGGTTACCCCGGTGCCAAGCCATACGAGGGTGAGAACTTGATGTTCGAACCGTGCGACATCTTTGTGCCAGCTGCTGTTGAAAAGGTTATCACCAGTGAAAATGCACACAAAATCCAAGCTAAGGTAAGCTGTTATTAATGTAGTATGTATATTATAAATACAGCAATAACAACTTTAAATATGTATTAGATCATTGCCGAAGCCGCTAACGGCCCAACCACACCAGCTGCCGATAAGATTTTGATTGAACGCAATATTTTAGTTATACCCGATTTGTACATCAACGCTGGTGGTGTAACTGTATCATTCTTTGAGTGGTTGAAAAATTTGAATCATGTCTCATATGGTCGTCTGACATTCAAATATGAACGTGAATCCAACTACCACTTGCTGGGTAAGTACAAAGTGTTAGTTACTGCGTAAAATTTTTGAAATTGATCGCCAAAATGTATAACTTTTTAATTACGATAAATATTTAAGCCATGGCATTACCAAAACAGTATAAACACTGTGCAAAGCATACAGCTATATCTTTTGCTAGGGCTAAATTAAACGCGTATGCTCTAAATGCTTCTGCAGTAATGAATGGCATTATTTTTGCACTACTTTCCATTAATTTCAATACAAATCGTTTGATTTTCACATATATACTTTCTTTCTCTATTATTTCCAATCAGTGCGCACTCACCTATGATTGATTGATCTATTCTAATAAGGTTTTAATGCTATACAAAATTTCATGTTCATACCAAGTTCAATAATTTACAAATATTTATAGATGTTATCAAAATGTTACAATTGAAAAACGTTAAATTTTTGCATAATTTTTAAAATTAAAATTCATTTAGTGCATAAATTGATATTTTTTCCTGCCTTAAAGAATTTTTAGAATTAACAGTGGGCTCACTTAATTCATCGTATTTAATACTGTATTTCTAAAATATTTTCTACTTTACTTAAACGACAATTTTCTTTTTATATCATAATTTTACAAAACTATGCTCAATATATTCTCTTACTTTATTTTTCTCTACTTAAGTTGTGCTCATTATCACATACATAACTCATATATATTATTCACAGCTGCCCAGTTAAAGAAAAACAGCTTATAAATAGGTGTTAATTTTTACCAAACTAAAACTCTTAAAAACAGAAATATCCAACTTTTCATCAATAAGTAATTTGTGTTTTTCTTTTTTCCGTTTTTCTATTACAAATTTAGCCTCAGTCCAACAATCCATTGAAAGATTTGTTTTAGACGGTACAGTTCTTCTTCTTTTTTCTCTTTGCATCATCTCATAAATCTCCAACTCATTATTGCCTATGAAATTTTTTAATATTCTTTTTTTTTTGTTCTATGTTAACTTGCAAATGTTTAATTCGTCGCGGCATTTGTAGTAGAATAATTTCGAATTTAACAATTATCTCCTAATGTCGGCACTCTGTAGACTATTAGTCAAAATTTTTTGTAAATCTTTTATTTTTAGATGCATACATATATGTATTTGCATTCACATATGTACTCGTATGTGTAAAAATTGCTTACAAACAAAAAAAAATATATGCACTGCCACTTCCTCTCATTCCCACTTAACCTGAGTTATTCAGGCGCATATCTATGTATTTATCTATGCATGTGTTTGCTTTACTCCGTGATAATTTTAGTTTTTTATATCCCCCTTAACTCGAAATGACTAATTAAGCACTTTTAGTTTGTTATGGAAATTAATACATACACACATACATACATATGTTAAAGAAATCTAACTTAGTTAACCATAATTTGATAGCCTTCTATTTCTTCCGCTTTAAGTTATTCTAATTGCATACCTCATTACAATGTTTTTGCTTTTGTGCTTTAATATCCCAAAAATAATTGTACTACAAAAGTTAAATTTTTCACTAATTCCTATTCTCTACACCTCTCTTCCGTGCAGAATCCGTGCAAGAATCTTTGGAGCGTCGTTTCGGTCGTGTAGGTGGCCGTATTCCGGTCACACCATCGGAAGCATTCCAGAAGCGTATATCTGGTGCCTCTGAGAAAGATATCGTACACTCCGGTTTGGACTACACCATGGAGCGTTCGGCGCGTGCTGTCATGAAGACCGCCATGAAATACAATTTGGGTCTCGATTTGAGAACCGCCGCTTATGTGAATTCGATTGAGAAGATCTTCACTACATACCGCGATGCCGGTTTGGCTTTCTAATCACTACGCTATGCTATTTTATGCATCATTCAGGCGACGTAATATCACTTAATTATTATTAGGCAAGAAGAACAAGCAGTTAAGCGAAAGGCACATCTTTCAAATATTTAAACTAAACAAAATACATATATTAGCGCCACTCATTTACACTCCAAACAAAAAAATAAATAACTAAATAGAATCGAAAAGAAAGAAAATGCTTAAATGTAAACCACTACAAAACAAATGGCGTTTGTATTCAATATGTTCATTTTATGATTGTAGTCAATTAAAATTTTATCGTATATTTCACCTAATTTCATTTGATGAATTACTCGTAAAAAAAAATATAAAACATTATGAATGTCCTGCCATTCTTCTTAAGTGTAATACAACATGCGTACATAAGTAATTCATAAACCTACATATGTTAGTTAGAGTGGCCGACAACAGCTACCGACCAGCAAATCTCCATCAATGGCAAATTTGGGTGCTAAACGGCGTAAGACGTGCGTAGTTACAACCGCCGACACGCAATCAAGGTCACAATCAACGTTTAGTTTGATATTTCATAACTGTAAAATGCTGTAATGCTGTAATATTTTTCATAAGCCAAGAAACGACCTTATGACGCTGTATTAATATTAATTATTTCATGTTTTCTTCTGTATTTTTTTTTTAAATAGTCACTTGTTGATGTTTAACTTTAAGTTTTAAAACGTGAAGCAAATGCATTTTATTGTAAATTGACTTATGAAAATAAAAGAGAATGGATTATATAGAATAATGAGCTGTATCACCGTAACATTTTAACTCTTAAAAGAAAAAAGAAAAATAAAAGAAAAAATATATAAAAATATTAAAATAATTTATTGTTATTCTTAACTTCACCTCACGCCAAGAACATTTCGTTGTTTTTATAGAGGGTTATTTAGCCTCGTCTAGCTTAGGTTGTGTTGTTGTTGTTGTAATATAAAAATATTTCCCAAAGTAGTTCTTGGGGAATGTTGCGGGAGTAACAGTCGGGGTCGTTCCGGTATAAGCAACAGACTGTCTCGGGAACTTTATAATTTTAGTCTTACGACAGGCATGTCTTACTGTGACGGGAAAATTCTGGAGCCCTACTCCACAGAATAGTAGCTGTTGTTATTGTAGCGGCTCACTACCACCGCTTAGGGACAGGTTTAATCAATCAATCAAGGTCATCTAATGGGATGTCTAGGAATCGTGCTGTTTCGACGGGATTGGACCAGAGGGACTCCCCTAGATGTGTCAGCCTAAGGGGGTGTAAGAGGTGGTTAATGTCGTGCGGACACTCTAAACATGCAAGGCATACATTGGGTATGCTGCGGTCGAGTCTGGATAGGTAGGAGTTTAACCTCTACAGTATCCAGACCTGAGTTTTGCCAGAATCACGCGGTTCTCTCGAGGCAGCTCAAGTTTGACGATCTAACCCCGTTTAGGTAAACAGGGTAGGTTGTAGTGTCTAGGGATGAAATACATCGAATATACTCAGGACTTATTAGGTTTGATTAGGTTTTGTTGTAGGATTGACCATCAACCAATAAGGTGCCGAAATCACGAAAGCTAAAACCTGCAGGAGAAATTTGGTCAAACACCGCTTCATCGGATAAAAGCATATATACATATATATAATTGACGCTTTGTTACCGCTGAAGCGATTTTCTGCCGAGCTCCTTTTCCAATTTGTGGTCTTGCGTCTTGATGTTTTTCCAACAAATGGCGGGACCTACAGTTTATAATATGTCGCCTCCGAACTTCTGATGGTTTTTTTATGAGCAGCTTTATTTCATATCAGAAGTACACTCGGAGGGGTTGACATTCCCTGCCGACGGGCGACCGCAATTAGAAAATTTAGCTTAATTTTTTTATTTAAATTAGTGGCTCACAGAACTGTTATTACCTTAGCTTGGCTTAGATTTACCAGAAGTGAACCACCTTGCCAGTAATCGACAAACAATTTTGATTGGGTTAAGGCAATGGAAAGATGGCGTGATTATGAGTTGAGCAGTGAAGAACGCCCGTCAACACACAAAATGAGAAGCTCCGATTGTAACAGACATCTACGTGGTTTTCTAATCTCTTTGCACTCCTGCTCTCTTACAGCACTTTTTAACAACTTACATATCTCGCAATGTTGGCATTGAGCACTATGTGAGGTATGTATGTAGGTATGTAGATACCGAAAGTTGTAAAGGAAGGTGAAGGTGTCTTGGTTACAAACTCTTGAGTAGCCTGCCAACAAGCCACTCTTGCAAAAGATTGTACCTTGTCTATTTAGTTCAGCAAATCTTGTTATTTGGTGCATTATTAAAATAAAAAGGTGCACGATCGGAAGTCACCCTGACTGTAATCTCATTTGGTACCGAACGGTTCCAAGAGGATCTTCCCAATTCTGACTGCGCTTCTGTTCCCAGCTTTCATATTCGCCCATTTCAAAGTTAAGTTTGTATAATATGCGTCAATTTTTTTTTTAATTTTTTATTTTGGCACATTTATATGACAAAGTATATTACTGCTTATTGTAGAATATCATTTACATAAAAATCGTAGTGATACACCAATAGTGTGAGTAAAAACGTTAAAATTCGTTTTGGAGTATCCAAATATAATAACTTACTGTACAGTAATACTATAAGTACACTTTATGATATATATATGTATATCTCATCGTCGCACATAAATGTGTACAAAAACTAAAAATATTATTTTTTTTAATGGTATTACATTAATATCAGTTTTCAATAATTTTTGTAAATTTATAAAAATAGAAGTTTACGCTAAGACGATATTACAATATTTTTAAGTATATTAATTGAGTTGAGTCATGTCTTTTTTTATATTGAATGTTTACTTTTTAAGTACCAAAATCAGTGATACGGATTTTAAAACATCAACGATTTTGGAAATAGTTTTTGCTTTTCATAGTCTTCTATTATTTCCATCACATGATCGCGTGTTAATTTGGGCACCTTAAACACATATCCTAAAGTCTTTAGCTTTGTATTATCCAAATATAAATGTTTATGATATAATTGCTCCTCGTCTAAGTATGGCGTTAAGGGTGTGTTATTGATTTCATTTTTTTGGCAAATCTCTGCCCATGGCGTCATATGTTTATCATTGACATCACTTACCGTATCAGAAAGACTTAACTGTAAATAAACAAAAGAAGTTTTGTTGGTAATAGCAGATTATTTAACTCAACTAAATACTTACCTTTGTCAAATTAGACATGACAACGCCAAAGTAATCTACGTTTATTGAAAATACATCGGATAAAATATCACTAATGGTTCCTTGTGTAGAATCTGCGTCGTCAACAATGTTGTACAATTCCCCTGCAGCATTTGGATTGAGTGCCAAAAACCACAAAGCCGCACACACGTCATCAACGTGTACAGTATTCAGACGCATGGAGTCATTCCACAGCAGTTTCATGCATTCATTTAAATACTTATATATGGCAGCTACAATAATGCGCGGCACTGAAAATAAAAGAACAAAGTTAGATAAAACTTATTTATTGTAATTCTACAGAGTTTTATCGGAAAACATTTGAGTTCTACTTACTTAAGTAGCGCTTATCTCCCAAGCCATATACAATTGGCAATCGTACAACGGTATATGGCAATGCATCGCTGAGTGTTTCAAGCTCACGCTCGACCTTTAATTTTTGCTTAGCTACGCAAGTCCAGGGCTCTGTCTTACAATCTTCTCTTTGCGGCACCTTTTCCGAACTATTCATACAACCTGAACTCAACTCGACAAACCGCTTTACCTTAACGTTTGCCGCCTCGTTGGCACAATTCATACTTAACTTAAGTATGCCTTCTTTATATACAGCTTCTGTTTGATTAGGACGTGTTTCGGCAGCACAGTTGAATACGATATCCCACGTTCGCCCTGTGGCTGGGTGTGGAGTAAAAGCATTTTTGCAGGAAGCTGTATACGATGCGTGTGTACAATCGAAGTGAATATGTAATTTAGAAAAAATAAAATTCATTGAATGTCACCAAAAAAGGAGCAATACCAAGCAAGTTCTGCGAGGCATGCATACAAAGTGTGTGGGTTTATCGCTTCTATATTCGTATGAGTCATAACAATATGCAAATATAGAGATATGTATAAAATTTTATACGAACCGGCATTAATGAGATTAGCGCTACAAAATTCCACTTTTTTGTTATCAAAAGCTTGATTGTGTCGCTCATTTAGCCAGGCCATTTGTGGCGGCGTCTTATCCACCACACGGATTTCCTCAGTGATATCATTTTCAACGAGATAAGTCACCAAACTGCGACCAATGAATCCACACCCTATGTACAATAATAGCTCTTATTAGTGTAAAAGCAAGATTTCAATATAAAATAGGACACAAATCTTATGTTTTCAAGATCAAAAATTAAAGCTTTGACGAAATTATATATATATTTTTTTTTAATATCTGATTTGAACTTACCTCCTAATACAATAACCGTTGGTTTGCTGGTCATATTTGCTAGTTTAAATCACAAATATTTCTAAGTTGATCTTTACTGGAAGAGTTTTTGTAAAATTATGCAAATCGTCGAACAAAAAGTTTTGAAATCAACAGCACGAAAGAAACAAGCAAGTGGTATCGATATTGCCACATTAAGAGTTTTTCTTGAAAAAAAAAAAAAATTAATAAAATAAACTGATCACAGATTTGTTACCCAAAGTGATGAAATTAATTAAATGAAAATATTGAAGTTGTTAAGTTGTGATTAATATTAAAGATCCTAATATTTAATATTCAAAACAGCAGTTTTTCTTTGTTAATAACTAAACATTGCTAATTTGCAAATTCATGGGATTTATAATGAAGATCATTCTCAAGATATTAATAAAGGTTTTTGTTTAAAACTTGTTCAAATCGTTTGTAATAAAGCACTAACTTTTCATTTTCTTATCAGTTTAAAAGTCACAGAAAGCAGTCCGATATGTCAACGAAAACACTAAAAACCGCTCCGAAAAACATTGTGCTCACAGCTCACAAAACTCGTTACCAAATTGATGTTGGTGACGGTCCGAACAAGGTGTTATTTTATCCTTTAGGGTTTTTGCTTTAGTTGCATGAGATCTCTTTAAAATCAAGTGGCAATGTGTGCTTTCTTAATTATATCTTTCCGAACGTTGGCAATACTATTTATTTTGGTGCCCATTTTTTGCTTGGTTTAGAAAATTGCAGTATACGAATTTTCGAATTAAAATATAAAAAATGCCGCCATCAAAAAAACTAGATCTCGATATTGATGTGGATGTCCTAACAGCAGGTTCAGCTGCCGACATTGTTAACTCAATCCTTGAGTTTTTGCTGTTCCAGCGTAATCAAATTCCATTTGTTTATAATACTTACAAATACTATGTCGGTTTGTGGACAGATGAAATTGAAGGCAATACCACAAGTGGCGGCATGGAACTAAGTGCAAATACTGGGAGATCTACGACCACACTGCATACCTATCAGATAGAGATGCAGAGGAAGCAGGCTCTTAAAACGAAAGAGGCCATAAGTGCAATGCGCGAGGTAAGTTTATTTCAAAAACAATATTTTTACATTTTTTTAATCGAAAATTTGTATCTGAAGCTTATCAGAAAATCATTTGACAAGAACAATGTTCGTTGTTTGAGATTTCTCTTTGGATCGACAACATTTACCGCTAAAGAAGCTTACACAATACATATTCCAATTGATTCAATATCGCGGCTGCATTTTCATAACCAACATCGTATTCCTCATGCACGTCTTAGTCAAACATTAATGTAAGTTCACTAATAATAGATTTAATAAAATCAAATAACTCATCCAATCTTTTATGCAGTTCTCTTTTGACTAATGAAAATCTTTACGGTATTTTCTCACATAACCTTTGTCCTACAAATGTCTATCTCGAACTAGAGTTATTATGTGAACCAGGTATATTGAAGGATACATGTTCGAAAGAGCGATTGCTACCAAAAGAAGTTTATCAGTTGCCACCAAGCTGTAAGGATATTCATTTTCACTTGCAACACAGACCTTGCTCAATAATCAATGACAAAACCACAGTTAATTGTTGTAAAGAAATAGAGGTGTTCCAGGGTGTAATGTGTCTTAAAATAAACGACACAGAGCATAAAAATTGCGACTATAACTGCGAAAAAGACACGCCTGTGCCTACGTGGTGGGAAGCAGACGTTTTTGTACGTGGTTTCAAAGAGAAGCCAATAAAAGGATTTAATATATGGACGAAATGACGTTATTTATAAGAATGTAAATTTAATGCCATTTGAGTAAACTAAAATGATGTTTATTGTAGAAAATTTTATGTAATGTTTGAAAAAAAAAATCGCCACTTTTTTATACTACGCCATTATAAAATATATATTTAAGCTACAAATACCAATATAAATGCTTTTTAAAATAGTATGCATTGAAAATGTATTCTGAAAATAGTGTAATTTTACATAAACAATGTTTAAACATTAGAATTCAAAAATTATAAAATCACCAAAAAAGGGCAAACAAAATTATGCAGTGTCACGATTCGGATAATTATAACACTCAGTACAATCTTTTGGCCAAAAAAAATGCAGAAGAATGCCGCGAATTAGTAAATATCAAGCCTTCCGTTCCACCTTGTGAAAGGCCAAATCGAAAACCGCCTACGCTACATACATTTTGCAACCACAACATTAATATTCAATATAAATATGAAGGTGGAGAAAAAGGCATTATAAAGCCATGCGGAATATGTATTAGGGTGGATGAGAATGGGAAAAAGCAATCACCTTGTCCTGTTTGTACAAAACAAGAAATGAAACCGGAAGAGAAGTTGGCCGAGGCAATTAAGTGTATTGCTAGTCCTCTGCCAAGATGGTTTAATGAGCCAGAGCGTAGCGACCCAATGAGCGTATGTTGTCGCATGTTTGGCGGTATTAAAAAGTGTCCAAGAAAGGTGGATCCCTGTTCCTGTCAAGAAAAGGGTACCTCTAATGTAAGCTAATATACTGCAAATATACATGTACATCTATATACATATTCGATTCTGTAGTGGTGCTTATATTTCAGGTAGATAAGTTTTCCGTCCATTATCCACCAAACAAACTTATTCCACCCTCCGAAATGCAAAGAAATATCAAATGTAAGCCGAATTTCCGGTGTCAGGGTCCTAAGGGTGATGGTGACTATCAAACTTTTAAGCCAGACTATAAAAATGTACCATTAACTGAGAAATTTTATTCGAAATATGAACATTTGGAATACATAGATACACCTGAAGTAAGACGGTATCAAAGAGAATTGGAAATGATTGAGAACTACTTCCCAAAGAATAAGTTCTGTGTGCCAAGATATACGAACCAAAATTACGGATGGTTAGATAATGAACAAATTAGGAAGTTGGAATTTTGTGATGCGAGCCGTGTTGCTGCACCAAAAGTTTTGCAAAATTTGAAGTCACACGAAAATAGAGTTTTCGATCCGATCCAACTACAATATTGCCTATGCCATAATTTACATAAGCAAATGGATCATTGGAAAATTGTTTGAAAATTTATCGAATAAATTCTCAAATAAATATATAACATTTTAATTATAAAAAATTTAAACCAAAATTAATTTTTATTAATTTTTATAGTTTTCATGATTTAATTTGCTTTGTGCGACGGTGGCTTCGCACAAATTCCTCAGCATAAAAACCCACCAATTCGCCTCAGGTTATTTCATTTTTATTGAATTATTTTTTCCGTAGTTTGCTTATAGTATTTTTCGTGCTTGTTCTGTCAGTTCTGTTGTGTCCACCTGTGCGCTATTGGGTAGAATTTTTGTTTTCAATTAATTTTTTGTTTAATATCCAATAAGAATACGGATAAAGCCTGGAAGTAGTAAATAAAGTTAGTAATCCTTTAAAGTTTATATAAATTCTAATAGTGTTTTTGTGTTTTTCAATGTTTTCTTTGAAGTTTTAAGCAATTGATTTTTAAGGTGTGGTTTGGTGCTGGCGTAAGCTCAGCCTAATGGGAGACGGGTAACGATGTGACTCAGTTCGTAGTTATTCAACTTAAAATTTATATTTATTCTCGTAAGCATTTTATAGTGGTTCTTTGTGGAAAAGTGTTTGAAAAGTAAATTTGAAGTTTTATTTATTTTGGAAAACTTCAGACGAAAAAAATTTAGATGCTTAAAAAGATTATGGTAAGCCTCCGCTTACGCTAGCAGCGCAGTTGACGTATTAGGAATTCTGCTACATTCAGTTCATTCATTATTTAAACTTGTTCCCTGAATGAAGATCAGGAAAAAGAAAAGATAATAACAATGTGGGAAAAGATTGCATTTCTAATGTAAAATCATTGAATGTTTCTGAAATTCTCATAGATCCTCTTCAAAACTTTAAGCCACGCCTAAGTTGCTCTTTACGTTGGCAATTAGAAAAACTGTGGTATATATTGGAACAGATAATGGTAGATTTGTAAACTAAAATTTGCGGTTTAGACATTGCATGTTGGTTTTAACTGTTAGACCCATTAGTAGTCTAATTGAATTTTAAATAAGATTTAAGAAATTGGAAAAATCAAAATCTAAATGTATGTATGTAAGTATGTACACACTTATTTACAAAAAGCAAATATCTTTCACACATTTTCTTATTCGTTTAATGCATTTGCGTAAGGTGTTTACAAATAGAAATATTCACACAAATTTCTCACCTCATTAAAATTCACTATGCCAGCTAAAAAGTAGAAGTGGTTTATTAAAAGAAATATAAAAAAACTATATTGCAATTAAAATTTACGACTTCCAACCGTTTAGAAATTTTTATTATTGTTCTTAGTTTTACTTACGATTAATATTTCCACTGTATTCACAGCGCCGCATAAGCGATTCAAATTCACAGTTCACAAATGCAGACAAAAATGTACCTTTAAATATCGCAAATATTGGGTTTTATTTCAACATTATTTATATCCACGCAATCCTCTGCGCTTAATCAGCGTAAAGATGGTGTATCTAGCGGTGTTTTATACTGCTTTCCTCGCAGTTTCTGGATTAAGTTACGCTATAGCAAATGCCGAAGCTCAGGCCCCTAATGAACCACAAACATATCAGCCAACATACAATAAGGATTATCAACCCCGCTACAATCCACTCTACACGAATTCCCAACAAGGATCGCCCATATCACAATATGAAAATCCTTTAATACCGTCACAGCAAGATTTACAAAACCCCAAACAGGGTGGAGGTGGATTATTGGTTGGTCCACCAAATCAAAGCAACTTTTATGATCAACCATCGAATACATTGGGTGGCGGTGGCGGTGGTGGCATTAATAATTACGATCCCTTCAACCGTGGTGGTATTACATCAACCGGGACTGATTACGTAGATAATTACAATGAAATGCAAAATTACTGCCCAGAACATTGGATACCGTTTCGTCAAACGTGCTACAGATTTATACGTTCTCCAAAACGCAATTGGTTGGAAGCTAAGAAAATTTGCAAAGCGTACAACGCTGAACTTTTAAATATTGATAACATAGAAAAACATTCGTTTGTATTGAAACAATTGATAATACAAAATCAGCGACAAAACCGTTTTTGGATATCCGCACGTCAAACGGGCCCCAATAGTTGGGCAAACGATGATAACTCACCATTCCTCGCGCTCGAGGACTCATTTGCCTTCGACGAAGATCAGGCTTTAGAAAACGAAAATTTACATGATAATCGATTTTTGGTACAGAACATGTACCAGAACGAGTATAATCGTAATCATCCGAACCAATACTACAACACGATACCGGGTTCGATAAATAGCCGAAATCAAAATAATTTGAGAGGCTTCATTGGTAAGTTTTAAGAAATTTCTGATTGATAAATGCTTTCAATTTTGCAATAATTACTGATTAAATGTTTGCAGGCCCCAATCAATACGGTGATAACCCTTTCAACAGAGATCGTGTAGTTTATGGCTTTTCGAAGAAGCGTGATCGTTGGATGTTTATGCCTGCATATGACATAGAGTTGAATTTGTTTATCTGCGAATCTGACATTCTGTATAATCCAGAAAATATCAATATTAAGCTAGACGATAAACGTCCCTTCCACTATGGCTTAGACATCAAAGATTTTGAAAAAATTCCTCGTGGGCCATACTTTGTTAAGCAGCCAAATGATACCACATTTGATACCAGCAAGAATCGTCTTATAAATGATGTTACATTAAGTTGTTTGGCTGGTGGATTTCCCACACCTACCTATCGCTGGTACCGTGAAGTCTACGTAAACGACACGCTTGAATATATGACAATAGACCCATTGAATAACGATCGCTATACAATTTCTGGTGGTAATCTGATAATTTATGATCCAAAGCAGGCTCTGGATCAGGGCGCATATCATTGCGTTGCGGAAAACAAATTTGGTCGTATACGTTCGGAGAGCGCACATTTGAATTTTGGTTTTATAATGGAGTTTAATTTGAAACGTTCGGCTGAGACGGCTGATATGAATTGGGGCAAATCCATATTTTGTGATCCACCGCAGCATTATCCGGAAGTTAAGTACTATTGGGCGCGCGACTTTTTCCCAAACTTCGTACAGGAGGATCAACGTGTTTTTGTATCAAATGATGGTGCGCTTTATTTTTCATCTGTTGAGATTGTCGATCGCGCAAACTATTCCTGCAGTGTTCAGACTTCAGTGTCGGATACAGGCCGAAATGGCCCATTCTTCCCCTTACGGGTTATGCCGAACAGCAATCATCAAACGTTAATATTCGCTAATACCTTCCCTAAGGTTAGTAAAGCTCGTTTTGCAATGGAATCAAACGTAAATGGCTTTATAAATTATAATTTATTTTTAGGTATTCCCTGAAGCGCCCATTGCTGGGGATGAAATTCGTCTCGAGTGTGTCGGCTTCGGCTATCCAATACCATCATACAATTGGACCAGAGTCGGTCAACCACTACAGCGTAATGCTTACACAATAAGCAACAGTCGTGTTTTAATTATTGAAAATGCTACAACCAATGATAATGGGGAATACTCATGCACAATTTCAAATCCACGCAAATCGATACATAAATCAATATTCATTAATATACAAATGAAACCACAGTTCACCATCCCGTTAATGGATAAAATTAAGGATTATAATGGCGATGTTACATTTATTTGTGAGGCTTTTGCAATACCCGATGTAAATTATACTTGGTATAAGAATGCGGAACGCTTTGATCCCGAGCGCATAGACAAGGATCGTTATATTATACAAGATAATGTACTTACGATAAAGTATTTAGACCCAAGCAAGGATGATGGTATGTATCAGTGTGGCGCTACGAATCAACTGAAAACTGCTTTCTCATCGGCACAATTGCGTGTCCTGTCGATGAAACCGTCATTTAAGAAGAGGCCACTCGAACCAGAAATATATGCGGTGCAAAATGGCAATACGACTATCGTTTGTGATCCCGAAGCGGCACCACGTCCAAAATTCCAATGGAAAAAAGATGGTCAACTGATTGGCGCTGGTGGACATAGACGCATATTACCGAGCGGTACCTTGATAATATCACCGACATCACGCGATGATGAGGGTCTTTACACATGCATTGCTACTAATAAGGCTGGTACAGATGAATCCCGATCTCGTGTTATTGTGTTACGTAAGTTGATTGTATTTTTTTTTTTTGGCTAGCTATTTCAATTAAATCTCACATTGTAGAGGAGCTGCGTTTCACACAGACACCACCGCTGCGTATCACCACACAAGAGCACGATCTAATTTTCCTACAGTGCGATGCCAACTATGATGAGTTGCTCGATGTTGCATTTATTTGGAAACGTAACGGCGAAGTATTGCGGGATAATCACGATGGCACAGAACGTATTGTATGATATTAAATTGAAATATACTTAGATAAGTGGTAATTAGTTTTCTCCCACTAATAGATAATTGATAGAAACCGTCTTACCGTACACAATGTAACCCTACTTGATGGCGGCGACTATGAGTGCGTGGTAAAGTCTGCAGTGAATGAGATTGCATCTAAAACATCTGTGGTGATCGAAGGAGCTCCTGGTGCACCGGGTGGTGTACAAGTCGTTGAAATCGGTAAAACCAAAGCGATTATTGAGTGGGTAGATGGTGCTAGTAATGGACGGCCTATTCGCTATTATAACATATTGGGCCGCACCAATTGGAATCGCACTTGGGTTAATGTGTCGACAAGTGTACGGGGTCGTGAAGTAGATCGTTACACTGGACGTCAGCAAGCTGAAGTCTCTAATCTCATTCCTTGGTGCTCCTACGAATTTAGTGTAGCTGCTGTAAACGACTTGGGCATCGGTATACCATCCACACCATCGCCAATCTACAGTACATATGAAGATAAACCATATATTGCGCCACGTAATGTTGGTGGTGGTGGTGGTAAGATTGGTGATTTGACAATAACTTGGGATCCATTATTGCCACAGGAGCAGCACAGTCATGGCATACATTACAAAGTCTTTTGGAAACTTAAGGGCACACTAGAGTGGGCATCGGAAGAGTTGAAATCGCTGCAGAACGATGGTGTTGCAGTTGTTAATATACCACTGAATAACTATTATACCGAATATGAGGTGAAAGTGCAGGCTATTAATAATATTGGCAAGGGGCCTGAAAGTGAACCTGTGGTTATATATTCCGCGGAAGATATGCCACAAGTGGCACCACAAAAACCATTCGCTATACCATTCAATTCTACGGCTTTCAATGTAACTTGGCAACCGATAGAAATGACACGAGAGAATATACGTGGCAAGTTGATTGGACACAGAGTGAGTTTCGAAAGAAGCGGATATTTATTGAATATAATTTTTCATCTTTATATTTTAATATCTGCTTAGTTGAAATATTGGAAGACCACAAACGACGAGGAGGATGCTGTGTATTATTTATCGCGTACTACTAGAAACTGGGCTTTGATAGTTGGTTTACAACCAGATACGTACTATTTTGTTAAGGTAATGGCTTACAATGCGGCCGGTGAAGGACCAGAGAGTGAACGTTTTGAAGGTAAGATCTTTTTTTTTTTAATATATGAATTGTAGTTGCACTCTCTAATCAAATTTAATTACACATATTTTTTTTATTTTAAGAACGAACATATCGCAAGGCCCCGCAGAAACCGCCATCTTCAGTACATGTGTATGGTATTGATCCTTCAACGGTGCGGGTGGTATGGCGATATGTGTCACCAGCACAGGATGAAGAGCCAATTGAAGGCTATAAGGTAATTATAATTAATATGTCAACGTTTACGAAACTAATCTGGCCGAGGTATTTTGCAAATTTAGGTGCGTGTCTGGGAGAGTGATCAAAACATGATAACTGCCAATAATACCATTATACCAGTGGGTGAAAAGTTGGAGGCACTCATTACAAATCTTACGCCAGGTAAAAGCTACAATATGCGAGTACTGGCATTCAGTAACGGTGGCGATGGTCGCATGTCCAGTCCAACATTACGCTTTCAAATGGGGAAAACAACGCGTAATCAAGGAAGTCGTCAATACAATAGTGGCCTTAACATGATGTTAACACTTTGTTTATTGTACCTCATATCAGAATACCTAAACAATAACTGATTAATACAATTGAACTTACTTCGATGCAGTTTATTATATATATTTATAAATTCCGTCCATGCTGCATGCGTGTCCAGAAATATTTCCATAACTAAAAGTATTTTTAAGAGTGTTCAGCGAAAACACAACATTCCATCCATTGTTTATTCGGCATAAAGTGAATGCAATTAATTTTAAGAATATCATATTTTTTATGATAAAGCAACGATTCCGTCTTTTATATTTTCATGCGTACAAACATATAATTAAAATATGGTAAAGCTTTAACGCTATCTCACAAATATCTACGTATTTAGCTACTAGTTTAATGTCTATCAGCTCGAATTTGTATCTAAAGTAATGTATTGATGTATTATAATCACCGATCCGTATACATTTTTATAAAGAAGTGACCTTATAATCGTAGTTAAGTCAAAAAATTATTTACATAAGAAAATTCAATGTTTTTTGTGTCTTAATTATAGAATGTATCCAATTATTTTTTAAAATCGAATATGTATGTATAAAATGGATACAAATAAAGAACAACTTTTTATGTAAATAACGGTATTAATTATTTTCAAACAGAATTTTGTTTTTAGTGAGGTTTTTCGATATATGTATGTACATATGTAAATGGGGGTTATAAAAGGGCATGCTGTTGTTGTATATGTAAAAATATGCTGCCCTTGGTCGTTCCGGTACAAAGACCCGACTGTTGCGCGTACTTTTGGATTTTAGTCGGCTCCTACTCCAGGCACTGAAAAAAAGTCATGAATCCCTACCTCGTTACCTTTAAGTAAGAATGATAGCCCTTGGTTTCAGGCTAGAGTATCAAATATTGAGAGTATGAGGATCTAATATTTTCATTATTTATGTAATGAGTTAATTTACAAATATAGAAATTTTGCCTACTCCGATACCCAGACCTTAACTCGAAATCTGAATTTGCTAATCGTGTAATTGAGCTCATAGAACAATTTGAATGAGTATAAAATATAAAGGTGTTGGTAGACATTCCATAAATGTTATGCATTTAATAGCGATGTTCAGGTAAGAACTGCAGCAATATTAATTAGATGTTATTTAAACCAAAGAACAACAACAATTTTAAATCATTAAATAGAATTCGATTTAAGCCGTTAGGTATCTGATTGGAATACGATCATAGCTTTCTGCAAACAAAAACAGCTGACAATTGATATACGGTCTTTGATATGGAGAGTCTCTGAGAACACATATGACATTCTTGGGGGGAGAATTTCTTTATCAAGATTTTAATTTTAAAAATTCGTCTTTTAATTAATTAAAAGCATTACAAATATGTACATATACATCACATCAAGTCTCGTTTCAAGTTTTTAAACTCAAAGCTTCGGCTTGGATTCAAAATAAATCTGTGAAAAATTTAATTTCATGATGTTAGCATTACTGTTTTGTAGAGTTCTTATATTTCGAACCATTTCTACATTTTTGGGAATCGCTCTTGAAATCTTTCAAATCTCGTCCAAATTTTTAAAATAATTTTTGGAAAAAGTTTATTGCAAATACGTCAACCTGGTTACTGAACATTTTGTGCAAAGATTTCAAAAAAATATTTATATTTAATTGTGTAAAAGAATTACAGTGCTTTGCTTTGGTTATAGCAATTGTATTGGAAACGGTGTTGTGTTGGTTAATAAAAGGGAAGAGAAAAAACAGACGACGTGAAGCTGCCGATCAAAGCAAAAGCCAAAAATAAGGTGCAAAATTCAGCACATTAAAATAAAAAATTGCATTTGTATTATTGGCCACCTGAGCAAAATGGGTAAAATGTATATATGCATATAGAACAAAAAGTAAATTAGTCAAATATTTTTTAAAAACATATAAATTTACAACGTCCACACCCATTTACGTTGCATATGTATATATACAAGTATGAAAAAGAGTGACCTAAATCAGAGCATAACCGAAGTGACAATTGACACAGCTTCCAGCGACGACAATACAGTAACGAACCAGGAAGCAGCTACTCATGATTCTCTACCAGCTTCGTCAGCTGACTTAGCAAAAATGGATAGGAATTCTTCAACTACTTCACTGACGGCATTGGCGACAGTGACACAAGTACGGGAAACGTCTGATCCAGTCGAAGTAAATGATGATCAACAAGCAACAGCATTGGCTGCCGCAACGTCAATGGAAGCTATAAAAAGCGACGGAGGGGTGGATGAACTAGGTGAACGAAGTTGTTGGATATGTTTTGCAACTGACGAGGATAACCGTCTAGCACCATGGGTGCAGCCATGTAAATGTCGCGGTACCACTAAGTGGGTACATCAAAGTTGTCTCTACCGCTGGGTGGATGAGAAACAAAAGGGCAACGCCATGCGTGCCGTTACTTGTCAACAGTGCCAAACCGAGTATATTATTGTTTTCCCACAAATGGGTAAAGTTGCCAATTTACTCGAAGCTTTCGATAATTTGATTAAACGTCTAAGTCCATTCCTTGCGGCCGGAATTTTTGTTGGGTCATTATATTGGACAGCGGTTACTTACGGAGCAGTGACTTTTCTCCAGGTAACTGTGGTATTATATTTTGTTGTGTATTGGTTTTAGAAGGTTATGCATTAATGTATATTTACAGATTGTTGGCCATAAAAATGGTTTGGCTTTAATGGAGAATGGCGATCCATTGATATTATTGATTGGATTACCCGCTATACCGGTTGGTTTAGTGTTGGGCCGCATGATTCGTTGGGAGGATGCGGTGATTAAATTGATTCGCAACCGCCGGAATGTTGCAAGAAAATTACCACTGATGAACCTCATTATACCTCATCCGTAAGTATTTTTTATGAATAAAAGTATATGAATGTAATTGTGTATATATAAGTAATATGTGTTATCGTGGCTTTTATCAAGGCAGCATTACATGTAAACATTCAAATGAGTCATGTATGAATAACGTTGAAAATGTTATATTTATTCTTCCCCGTCTTGTTATTAAAAAATGGACATCAAAAATATTTCTAAGACATTACTGTTAAAAATAATTAATAGGTTTGATTTGTTTCAGTGAAGAGGAAGAGGATCCAATCCCGCAAAATCCCGCAACACCCACGTTGTCAGATCCAGTATCAGCAACTCGTATATTTTGCGGAGCCCTTATCCTACCAACCATATCAACTATAGTTGGACGCTTACTTTTCGAATCAATTGAAAACACCCTGCATCGTACACTTCTCGGTGGATTGACGTTTATTGCAGTCAAAGGAATCTTAAAGATTTATCTGAAACAACAACAGTACACACGGAGGAAGAAGCGCCGTATTGTAGATTACACTGATGAGAATGTGCGCACTTTTGTGAATCGGAGCTCGTCTCGCCATCATGGTGCCGGTACTGGAGGTGGTGGTGATGTGGCACAGCCTGCTGTTGCGGGACCATCAGCCGGTTCAACTCCTCAGTCTCAAAGGGATGCAAACATAGCTCAAGCGGCAAGTGAACGGATTAGCATGGTTTAAATAGTCATTTAATTTGAATAGTTGACGACATTGAAACATTACAGTTGCAACACAAATAGTAAACCTTAACCTTGGCTTACCAACACACTCTATAGTAAATACCCATGCTTGTTGCGGTAAAACGAGTTGAAGTTAATTTTGGTTATTATTTTATTAATGACATAATCTTTACAAATACCAAATTGATATAATGTAAAAAAAAATTTACAATGTAAAAGTAGGTATAAAAAAATTGAAAACCTATTATGAAAAAAATTGTAATTTCACTGGAAATAAAATTAATATTATATACGTATATGTAATATAAACTCTACGCCACATTAAGTGGTGCAGTTTCAACAAAAAAAAAAATAATAAAATAAAATAAAATAAAAAATAACATGAAATTGCAAATCCAAATTAACAATCGCTCAATGCACAATTATTCAATAAAATAAAAAATATCAATTTGGAAATGCTCAACGGGCTTCTGAATATAAAAACATACATTCTTGACACAAAATTTGTATGGCCATATTAATGTATATTGATGTATGTACGTAAAACGCCAATAGCTAAGAAATATTTAAACTTCCTATAAGAATATTTTGAAAAAAATAAAAATAAAAAAATTAAGAGATGTTCTCTTTTGTATAGCTATGGGAAAATAGAATTAATTATTTAATGAGTATATAAGTTTGATGGATAATTGGTGAACATTTATTTCATGTCAATTATACTTATTTCTTTAATATCAATTTCATGTTATTTAAATTGAATTAAATATACTTTTGTATGTTAAATATTTGGTGCGAACAGACATTTAAATATAAATAAATGAATATATTTTTTAATAATGTTAATAAAAAAAGACAGAAACTAGGAAACAATATTAACCATTCAGTTATGTAAGTGTGGTTTTACTATTTCGACTTGATTTTGTGATTTAGATTTTCAATATTCGTAAATACATACATAAATATGTGAAAAAAGCCATTAAATTTGCGACTTAGTTTAACATCTTTTTTGCATGCAGTAAGTATAGATATAGTATAGATCACTACTACGCAAAGAAATGTTGTAAAGCTATCCGCTATAGACCGTGATAGATTTAAGATGAAATTGGTATAATCTTCTAACCAATTTTAAAGAGTTAAAGTACAACTATAATTGAGGGTTTGAATGAAAATATTGTTGTTGCTGCAGCGGCTTCCGGTAATCAAGCGGGAGGTCCATGAAACTTACTGTTCCGACGAGATCGGACCAGAGGAACAGCGGTTATGGATGTGTCGATTTAAGAGGGCATATGAAAAAGTGGTTAGTTTCGTGCGCAGATACTCCACATGCAACTCATACGTTGGGTATGTTGGGGTCGAGGCTGGATAAGTAGGAGTTAGTAAATTGTGCCATGGTCACGCAGGTAGCTCAAGCCTATTGTCTGCCGGTGCAGGTGGTGCTTTTACTCCGAGCACGTCACCCATTGGTGGTGTATTTGAAGGTGTTGACTGAGTCCTGGTGAAAGGCGTTTAGTGTTTATCTGTAGGCCGTCCTGTCCAGCGGTTGTTGCACGTGTTGCTGGATGCTGTCTTTCATATCTACTAATTCCATTCTAATGCGTTTAGGTGAAGATTCAGCTTCAATAAGATGTCTAATGGGATGCTGCCTACGGAAGCAATTGCTTGCATAGCAAAGCATTATACTCCTTAATTTGTAGAATAGACATCAGTAGGTTTCCTGGCGCGCTCCTGAGGGCTGTGTTGTGGCAAACCTGTAACTTCTCCATCTGTCGGAATTGTGGCCGGAATTTTCACGTTCTCGACCTTCACATCTAATTCGAACCTGTATTCCTTCATTCCAGCTGGGGAAGTGGGTAGCCGAGGATTTACTCCAGTGGACCCTTAAACCGAGTAGGTCGGCGTGGATCCACTGAAGCTTGCTCTCTCATTAGCCGTGACCCAAGGCTCCACACCGCTTGGTTATCGCATCTTGCATAAGGGTTGCTCACGTTTCCCGGATGCCCGACGTGGAAGTAAGAGTAGGAATTGAATATAGCCTCGCAACTGCAACAGCATACCCGTTTAGGTCAGCAGGTAACAACACGGAGAGTCATTAAATATCATCTTCCATTCGCTTTTGTGAATGAAAATGTTGAAGAGTTGTAAAATCCTTTTTTTTTAGAATCTATCTTTAATTGTAACTACAGGTTAAAGCTGGCAAAGTATCTAAGTGGACGGACCGGCAGACATGGCTAATGAACTCGTCTCTCATTCTATGAACTTGGTTGTGTATCTAGGCAGTGTTATTTGGGATAATCAGCATGCAAATGCATATTAACATACAATAAAAAATTATGTATGCGTTATATAGTATGCATATTAATACACTTTTATATATGCAAATAAATATACATACATAACTTTATGAGATCAATCCAAAATGAATCATAATAAAGAGCAACAAGTCCGACGAGGTAAGAAATTGCTCTATGTCTTCTATGAATTCGTTAATACACACATATTTATAGTTATAAATATACATACATATTTACATAGAGATGTATTAATTTGTGTAAAATATGAATGTAAATAGCAACAGCTAGACATTTTCCATGACGCATAAATTACAATTATAAATTTATGTATCCATTAAAAATGATGTTATGACTCAAATCAGCTATTTGTCATTAAGCAGGTTTAATGAGATTTAATCTCATTTTTTGACCATCTATGTACCTTCAGCATATATGTATGTATCTAAGTATTCATATGTCAAACTTCCCTAACCATAACCATTGTTTACAATGTATAGAAAGAATTATGTAAAACAGATAGTATTAACATACGTGTATGTGCAATTTACACCAACAAATAGAAATTGTTTACTCTTCGCATGCATTGGCATGTGAAATTACTCATACGCCCCGTCGACCTTAACAGAATAGGTATGTATACATATGAATGTATTATATACATATACATATGCGACAATTCCATCTGCACAATGGTCTTCGATTTGACTGAAATTCGGCATATAATTTAATTTCGTGCTAAAACTGACCGAAATCGATTAAAAACATTTTTAATTTTTTTTTGTCCGTAGAAAACATAGTCGTGGCAAAGACGGAGAAAGTCAAATAGATGGACCTATAAAATAAGTCATAATAAGTTACGTTTGATACGGAGAGGGCATATATACATACCTACATATACACTAAGTTAAAGTAAAAAATTTGTGATAATTTTTTTCTTTTTTTGGATGCATAAAAATCTACTAACCAAGCTCGCGGAGCTTCTGACGAGTCACTATCGATGTGACTATCGATATAACGTCTGGCGTTGTCCTGTTGGCCGAATCTGGGCTCTTCTGTGCGTGTCCTTCCTTTCGACTTTCTAATTGCTATCAGTACAAGTCCGAATTAAAAGTTTCCTGACCAATCCGACCAAACACACAACAAAACCTTTCTGATCAACTATTCTGGCTTGGAGACCACAACTGTTCGACCGTTTTCGATTGACGTTGCTGTGAGTGATCCACCCCTCATCACCAGTCATCATTCGCTTTAAAAATGGGTCGTTTTTTTACGATTCAGCAGCGATTCGCAGAAGGAAATTTGGTCTATGCGGTTTTTCCTCATTAACTCGTACGTCACTCCTACTTGGAGATTCTTAGCTTAGCTTCTGGGCAATCGAAACATGATTGTGAGACTCGACGATTTCCATTGTTTTATTGACATTATCGACAATTGGGCTACCCAAACCCGGGATAATCTTTTATATTAAAATTACGAGGACTAAAATTGAGCATTATTGTCGGTTGCAGATCAAGACTATAAGCACTACCCACATTTTCAGCTGCATCTCTTAAGTTTCGCCTTAATCGAAGAAAAATTTGTGAAATAAAGATTATCTTTTCTTTGCTGGCGCCCATCTCTGACATGCGCTCAAACACTACCGAGTTAAGAGATCAACACTTCTATTTTTATCTTCTTATTATTCATATCTTTCTAACTATTTCGTACTTCGCTGAAGATTAAAAACAAGACATAATTTTGTTATACGAGGGGTGGCAATTAAGTAATGAGACTGGATCCATAAAAATAAAAAAAATTCTAAATTATTCTATGACTCCAACATCCCCTTCGAAGTAATCCCCTTAGGCAGCTATACATTTCTGGAACACTTCGCCTGAGATGTCCGCGAGTACCCTCATTACGGCCACCCGGATGTCCTCAATCGACCCAAAATGGGTTCCTTTGACCATCGATTGTGTTCTAGGAAACAAAAAAAGTCATAGAGTGACATATCGGGCGAATAAGGCGGTTGTTGCAATACTGCGATCCCTTTAGAGGCCAAATATTGGGACACACTGAGGGCGGTGTGGCATGGCGCATTGTCATGATGAATAATCTAGTTACGAGCGATGTCTGCGAGCACCTTGTTGACTCGTTTTCGCAATCTTTCGAGTACTTGGCGATAGTAGACTTGTTTTACGGTTTGACCCGGTGGAAAAAATTCTCTGTGGACGATTCCACGGCCATAAAAAAAGGCAATAATCATCTTTTTTCCCATCGACTTGCTCATGCGAGTTTTTTTTTAAGCCATCGAAACACTTGAGCACGACTAAGAGCACTATCACCATGCAGATTTACTATTTTGGCGTATGTGTCCGAAGCTGTTTCGCCCAATATGGAGCAAAATTTTATAGTGATTCTCATTACTTAACTGTCACACCTCGTAAGTTTTTTGTGAGCAAAAGTTTGCTGAGCTGAATTTAATCCTTCCTAGCTCTTTTATAAAGATTAGTAGAAGTAATATTTTTGGGAATCCCTAGTAGCTTTCAAAGTAGCTGAAAAACCAAGGTTTTTGCGTAACCAAGGTTTTTTCATAAGATTTATACTCCCCTACGTATTGGGAATGTCAAGTACCGCAGCCGCTGGAACGATGAACTGTACGATATATACGGCGGTATTAAAATGGTCCAGCAAATCAAGCGAGATAGCGGATTCATTGGTCCGGCTGGATAAGTATACTCCAGCTTTGAAATTTTACATTGCAGTACGCGCCGGTGGAAGCAGAGGAAGAGGAAGACCTCTACTCCGTTGGAAAGACCAAGTAGAGAAGGACATGGCTGTGGAAATACCAAGACCAATTGGCGCCAAACTGCGAAAATAAGGAATGAATGGTGCAATGTTGTTAACTCGGAAATAACCGCATAAGCGATGTCTACAGCAGTGAAGAAGAAGAAATACTAGAAGAAATAGTCAGAAGGTTGTACATCTGTTGCGTTGAATAAAATTACAAACTTATTTCCATACATTATAATGATTATGATGTACAGAAGGCCATGAGCTCGAGTCTTG